GGGTTGGTCGTGGGTTTGGGTGGGGGGGGGGGGTGAGGGGCACCTATCTGTTTGGGAGCTAGGCCCAGCTCTGCAAACTAAGTAGGAGCTGTTCTCTCCGGGTCAAAAGGAATATTGCAGAGGCCTGCAAAGGGAGCCTTCGCTTCTCTCAGCTGCACTCTTCTGGTTTGCTAGAGATCAGCATGGAGCAGAGAGATCCTGCTCCTCCTCCTTAGCTTGCAGTCTCCTTGGGACAGAGCTGTCATTGGGAGACTGCAAAGCCATATGCAGACCTATGGGATTTGTAAATCAAGTCCTCCTTGCTGGCAGGTGTTGCCGACGCAGCATGACCTCACATTGGAAGGGCAGAGAAAAGTAAAAAGTTGAAACTCTTTCACAGGTTTCTGTTGGGGAAGCACAAAGCAGCTATTGAAGTGTACAATGAAGCAGCTAAACTCAACCAGAAGGATTGGGTAAATACGGCACCTTTTGCATTACTAATTGGCGCTCACTAGAATTTTTTCTTGGGGCCCAGTTAAACAGACCTGGTCAGCATGTTTGTATTCTGCAGAACATCAGCCTTCCAACCAAATCCTGTATAGCCATGTACAGTACTCTTCAAGGGTAGATGTGGGAAGCACCTCTCCAGCCTGGGGTTTGGTACTCCTGGGTACCTTGTTCCAGTGGTCCCCAAATAACCCAGGGGCTGTGCTGAGTATTGTTTATCTTTGCAAAATGGAGTCCACTGTTACAGCACTAGTAATAAATAAAACCCGCCCAAGCAAGAGACGAGCTGAAAGAAGAGATCTGCCAAGAGCAATGAGTATTAAGTGAGGTTAAGGGAAGAGAGGTGATGGCTCACAGCTCAGTGAGAACAGCCTGCTAGGGAAGTGCTGTTTCTGCTCATGGGCTCTTGTGCTGCAAGTCATTGGTCATCCTCATGCTTATAAAACAAAGCGTATTGGGCCTGATTCCCAGAAGCTCCCTACCATTAGGTGCTCAGCACATCTTGAATTCAGGCCCAATATGTGTGCGTATTTGGCACCACCATCTCTTCTTCCACCCACTCTGTGCTGACCGGTCCAGTTTTTACTGGGGGCTCTGCAAGCAACAGACATTCAGTCACTAGCCATTCTGAAAAATTACGCCTAGTTCTAAGTCAAATGAAAAACAGAAGTGCCTGTATGTTTTTGATGAACTAGAAAGTTTGTTTAAAAAGTAAATGAATAATTTTGGGGCAAACAAGAGGTTTCATTTTGACAGAATTGCAGGGTTTCATTGTAAACAAAACATTTTGACTTGGACTATTTCAAAGCCTTTTTGATTGTTTTAAAATAAAAACAAGGGACATTTCTACATGGAAGTTGTTTCCAACCAAAACATTAAAATGTTCTGGTATTTTTTTAAAAAAAATTTGTTTGGGTTTCTTCCAGTGAAACAATTTGGCAAATCCGTTAGTAATTTGTGGAACATTTTTGGGCTTGCAGATCTCCATTTTAACCTGGAAAATATTTGGGCCAGGCACTGTCTGCAGCTGTGCTCTTATCAAAGGGAAGACCTTTCAACCCTGCTCTTTTTGAGCACATGGCTGCGCTGCAGTCGGAGGTGTGACTGCAACACGTGTAGATCCAGCTCTCCTATCTTTGGGCTCGCTGGCTCATATACCAGTAGCAGTGATGCCATGGCAGTAGGGACAGCAGCTGTTCAAGTAGGCAGCCAGGGTCCCAAGTTGATGAGGCTGGCCTGTGCAGTGGCCCATGCTGCCACAGCTTCACTGCTATTGTTCCTCAGGCTCGCTTTGATCTAGCTAGATTAAAACTACTTTGAGTATGTTTCCCAAGTCCTGCAGATACACCACTTGATTGCTGTGTAGACCTACCACAAAGCCTGTGGCATGTGCTGGGGTGTGGCTTTAACCCTATGGTTTACTACCCATAAGCCCATGGGGGAGGTCTAGATTGTATATTAGGAAAACTATTTCCCTAGGAGAGTGGGGAAGCACTGGGATGGGTTCCCTAGGGAGGGGGTGGAATTTCCATCCCTAGAGGTTTTTAAGTCTCAGCTGGACAAAGCCCTGGTTGGGCTTGGTCCTGCCTTGGGCAGGGGGCTGGACTCAATGACTCCTGAGGTCTCTTCCAGCTCTGGGATTCTAGGATTCTGTGATATCCCGTCTGGAAGGCATTGGCAGGGATCTCCATAACCCAGGTATCAGTGTTGGAATCGGAGTTGATGCTTTCACTTGCTTTGTATGGAAGCCCCCTGCTACCTCTACCCAGCCTTGAGTTGCACTTTGTTGTCTTTACTATTCTTCACAAGGGAGGGGTTGTGTGTGGGGAAGGGCATCCTGTCGGGATAGGAGGGTAGAGTATTTCCTAGATGGCATTCTGCCTGCTAGTGATCTATGTAGCGACTATAAAGAGTTTTCACACGGGTAACGTGATCCATTTAGTGGAGAAAGAAAGAAACTTACAGGGGTGCTTGGCTGCCTGAAATTGCTCCTCCAATCCCCCAGAATGGGAAAAGGCAGCACGGCTCTTGTGTGTTCACAGACTCTTAGCAGTGACCTGGATGGGTGTAAACGCTTCCTAGGGACCACCATAATGGTTAGGGTGCTGAAAGAATCCCAGCCTCTCTGTTCGAGGGCCTGTATTCTGGTCAGCTGGGGATAACTCTCCAATTCGGGTCCCATTGGACCAACATTTTACACCTATCCCTGGCACCATGGGGTTTATCCCAGAGTAGGGCTCTTGACCTAATAGGGGTCACACATGATGGCTTTATACATCTCCCTGATAATCCAGTGCAGTGTCAGCCAAGTGCGGGTCTCTTTACACAGGCCTTCCCCTGGGATGTGCATTTTATGCTGAGCATCAAGCCAAATAGATTATCACAATGGTTGAAGTGCTGGGCGTCCTTTGAACTGCAAAGCCCACGGAGGTTCCTAGCCAAAGCAATAGCTGGTACTAGTCTCTTTCTGATTAGCCAGTGTCAATTCACCCTTACACAGCTTTTTCCTTTTCATGTAGGAGATCTGCCACAACCTGGGCGTGTGCTCCATGTACCTGAAGCATTTCAACAAGGTAATTCGAGTGCTTGTCTTGTCCAAAGAGCACCACCGAGAGCATGTCTGCATGGGGTGGCAGTGCACACCAATGTGATATGCACTAGCTAGTCCATGTAGACCAGAGCTGAGCAATCATTTTTGCAGGGGGGCCACTTCACGAATTTTGGAAGAGGTTATGGGCTGCCCCAAAGGGGCGGGGCCTCGGGTGCAAGGGGGCCAGGAGGGGGAGACTTGGCATGCTCCCACACCCTCAGGCCCTGATTGGCTTGGGGGCATGGGAGCATGCAAAATCTCTTTCCCCCCCCCCCACCCCGTCCTGCCAGGGGCACACAGCTAGAGGGAACCACCAGCTGTTTTGAACAGCTGCACACCCTTGGCAGGGGGAGGAGACTTTGTGGGCTCCCCTGCCCCCAGGCCTTGATTGGCCTGGGGATGAGGGAACAGCAGGGTGGCCACAGGCAGTATCAAACTACTTGGTGGGCTGGGTCTGGCCCACAGACCCTCTCTTGCCCATTGCTGATGTGCACTAAACTTCACACGTTCAGGGAGTTTTAGTGTGCACCAGCAGAGTATACCCAGGTCAGATAGGCTACGTCTCTACTGCGGAGCTATTCCACGTCTTAAGAGCAAGCCTGTTACAGTGAAATATCACGGGCTCGCTATTCTGACGTCCCTGTAAAGCTCATTGTGCGACGGTTAAGGGACGTTTCGGAATAGCGCTTCATTTTGAAATCACCTTGAAATAAGCTACACAGTTTGCGTAGCACAAATTGTGTCACTTATTTCGAGGTAAAGGTGCTATGTAGACACACCCTTAGTGTGCAACAGAATTCACATGCTTTAGAATTCATCTCTCTGCTGGGCATTACTCCTCCATGTACACAGGCCTTACAACATTACTAGAAACCCAATTCTCTTTTCTGCAGTTTTACTGATAAGGGGATCGCGTCTAGTCAGGTTAGTTTTTCTTCTTTCAAATGTTTGATCTGCTGTGAGAAGTTTACCCTAATTATGAGCTCAATGCTAAGAAGTGAGCGAAAGTTTTATAAAATATCCCAATGCCAATGACTATTAGTGAGAAAAGGAACCAAAGGGAGACACACAAGGCCTGTGGACATACCTCCAGGACTGTGGAGATCATGCCTAATTGGTTTCCCTCCCCTTAGGTCTCTGTACTGAAAGGTTACCCAGGGTTTTAATGTAGTGTTTGCTGTGGCACTGAGCAGGCCTAAGGTTTCTGTGTAGCAAACCCTGAACCTTGTTTAACACCATTTAGTGTCACACAGTGAGGGTATATCTGCACTGCGGTTAAAACACCCCCAGCTGGCCAAGGCAGGCTGGCCCAGACTCTCAGGGTATGTCTACACTACAGTGTTATTTTGAAATATCAGTACACAAAATGCATTTTGAAATAGCATTTTGCTATTTTGAAATAGTGCATCCACACTGAGTGGACTCTGAATCACATTAAGGCTGGCTGGAACCTGTTCCAGCAGGGCACCAGGTCAGGACTTACTGTGTGGGGCTGCTGCCTGAGGCTATCTGAGGTCTGTGCTTAAAGGGGCCCCCCTTGGACAGCCAGTTCTCAGGTTTCCCTGCTTGCTTGTCTACCTCTATGAGGGACAGCAAAGCATTTTGTCTCTGTATGCTCTGGTTGCCCTCACTCGGGACACCACAGCACTCGGCAACACGGAGCCAGAGCTGCCCCTGGGCACTCTGGTGCTTCACTTGGACGCTTTGCTGCGAGCCTGGCTGCCCTTTCTGCAGGCTGCCATCCAGGAGGTCCATCTGGGGGCTGTCAGTATCCAGGAGGCCCTGCAGGAGAGCTTCTACCCTGAGGAGCACTAAGAGCTTCCTTGGTCTGCCCCACTGGGGGCTCGTGCCTTATTCCTCCCTCACGTCCTTCCACTTACTCCTTCCTAACCCCCCTTCCTGATGTCAAATAAGACATGTATTTTCATGAACACAAACTCCCTTTCTTTAACAAAACTGGGGGGGAGGGACTGAAACTCTGGTGAGACTGGGGAAAGGAGGTGGGAGAGGGGAGGGGGAAACCTGGGAGGAGGGAGCTGGAAGGGGGAAAAGGGGGAGGGGAATCTCAGGGCTCAGGGTTGGGGAGTCTTGCTGGACCAACTTGATTTTCATGCAAACCCACTCCTGAGTTCGCATGTGGCCTAAGCGTTCCTCCATTTAGTGCGGAGATCATTCTGAAAGAGTTCTTTTGGAAAAAGGATTCTTCCTCATAGAAAGAGGTTTACTGCTGTCAGAAAAACCCCTCCGTTCTTTTGACTTTCTTTTGAATTAACGCAGTAGCCTTGTGACGTAAGTGAAGATTTTCCAGAAAAATGGCTGCTTTCTGGAAAAACGCTGTAGTGTGGTCATACCCGTAATCATCAGTGTTGTCTATCAGTCAAAGCAGAGAATTGTGAGTTAGGACTTTTTCATTCTGTACCCAGCTATGCCACTGAGTAATTTCAGTTAGGTTACATACAGGGGCGGCCCGTGATTATAGGCTGACTCAGTCGTCTCCTAGGGCTCCACCTTCAACGGGGTGCCCGGGGCACCCGATGATGATGTCACTTGATTGATGGCCATGCAGGCGGGGGCGCCGATCATGCATTCCTCCTGGGGTGCTAGCTGCCGCAGTCCACCTCAGGCCGCTCCTGGTTATATAACCATTCTGTGGTTCAGTTTTGACTATCTATAGAATGGATATAAAATAGCTTGGCTGTGGAGCTGTAGAATGGCAGTGAGGACATTTGGGAGGGTGAGCATAGGGAGGGTGTTTAATTGCTAAGTGGATATATACTGCGGGTCTGTTGTTCTGTCTGCATTCACAAAACAGAGCTCTCGTTTACAATCTCGTGAGCAGCTACATGGTAACATTCTGCCAGGATTGGCACTTGAGTTACGTAACCAACAGGACTGTGAATGCAACTAGAGATATCTTCCCAAATGTTTGTGGTTCACTTCAGGCTAAGCCATGGAATAACTGGCAATCAGTAAACTTGGGCTACAAAGCAACCAAGAACTCTACTCTAGACAGGGTCCAACAGGCCTTGTCTGAACTAAGATTTCTCAGACAGTATTTCCATTGTCCAAAGAACTCATCTAGCCATTAGGAGAAGCCCCAGAGCATGCCTGACTAGCCAGATAACAAACCACATGGACACCGGGGACTCTTCCTCTCTTGGAGCCTTTGGCAAAGGTGTTGATGAGTGTTTAGCCTTACGGAGCCTTTCCTGAAAATAGGAAGGGTCTGATGTCCCATCCTGACACTCTGAGAGGGAGTTTGCGGGGGCAGAGGACTGGCAGAGCAGCCGAGATGGAGGGAATCCCCTCCTTTCTCTGTCTCCGTGGCATGGGCTTGCTAGTGGTTAGATGCTACTCCCATGGGAAGCCTAGTGCATACTTCTTACAGAACATTGAGAAGCAATGGGTTCAGATTGCAGCAAGGAAGGTTGAGGTTGTACATTAACCACCCTGACCGATGGGAAGTTTTTCCTAAATACTGGGAAATGTGGAGTCTCCATCATTGGACACTTTTCAGAGCAGGTCAGACAAGCAGGTGTTGTAAGTGGACTAGATAATATGCAGTCCTGCCATGAGTGCAGGGGCCTGGATTAGAAGACCTCTTGAGATCCCTTCCAAGCCTTTGAGTCTATCACTTGGGCTCATAAAATATAATGAAGCCCAGGGAGACTTCTGGGTGTTTAACAGTTGCAGGTAATTAATATCCAGTACTGCATAAAACCTTTTCTGTCTAGCCTTGTCAGCATCTCTTTTTTTTTTTTTTTTTTTAATGTGCCATGTGCTAGAAAGCTGCAAACTTTCATTGCTCCCCATTGCCTCAGCTTGGGAGGAAGAAGATGTTACAGCAACAGAAGTCTGGAAGTGTTCCCTATGGGAGGGGATTTACATGTGCCTGGTGATGAATTCTTTCTTCATGTCCATGGCAATCCGGGCTCATTGCTAGCATGAGCATTTGGCAGAGAGGGGAACTGTAAATGCATACGTTAAGCTTAGCAGCCCCTGAGGGATCTTGGCTTCTGTACCAGAACAAACAGGCCTCTGTCTCTCGTGGCAGATCGATATGTTTTGCTTTGGCTTGAAGTGCTCAGCTTTGTGTTCCTCCCTCAAAGCCCATGCCTCCCATTGCAGAGCTCATGTCAACAAGCACCTCATAGGCTGGGCCTTTATAATAAGATTCTTCAGGCTTGGCTTGAGCCTTTGATTCCTTTCTCCTCCAAGCTAGCAACACGTGGGTTGGTGCTCTCAGTGGACAACTTTTGGATCATTGCTTCACTGTGAACTCTGCAACCGCATTGATTTTACTTTTTCCTCTGTGTGGTTTTGTGCATAGGCGAAAGACCAGCTGAACAATGCCTTGCAGCTCCACAGACATGATCTGACATACGCGATGTTGGGAAAAATTCACCTGCTGGAAGGGGACACCGACAAAGCCATAGAAGTCTATAAGAAAGCAGTGGAGTAAGAATTTCCTCTCCCTACCTCTTGGGAGAATTTTGATTGGTGAATTCAGGACAGGAAGGTGTCTGTTTTTAAGATGGCAGTGCTCCTGGGCATAGCTGGGATTTCCCAGCTGTGTGCCCATCTCTGATCTTGGCAGTAATCCTCTTACTCTAGCTGGCAGTGCATCAGGCGCAGAGGTACCTCTTTGAAGCCCTTGCCCAGAGAAGGGTGAAGATGAATGGAGGTGCTGGGAGCAATGGTGCACAAAATCCAGTTCTCAAATCCTGTGATTCACCTACTAAAGCCTGAAACACAGAGCTGAAAGATTGCTGCTCATGACTGTCACAGCTGTACTATTGGAAAGAGCAATGAGCAGTTCACCGCTGCTTTGAACTTACTGGAGTGTTATATACTTCAATGGGTGCATTTTTTGTGTATGAAAGTGAGGGTTCAGCCCATCCTCAGCTGGCGGGGCATGGCCCCACCACCCACATCTCCTTGAATCGATTAACCAATTAAATGGGTTTTTACATCCCTACTATAAGTATGCCTCACTTACTGTAGATCCAAACTCGGGGGTTGGGACAGTCCTTGCTTTATCTTTGTACCACAGTTTGCACAACAAGGTTTCAACCTGGTTAAGACTTCTAGGTATTTGTGCGATGCACCTTCTTCTTGGGACCCTAACTGGGATTTGGAACTTAACTCTGTATAAGCAGAAAGTCTATTAGTATGTGGTGCCCCCAGCCTGCTTTCTCTCTTTGCTGCTGATTATTCATTGTATTCATAGTTTGTTTGAAAGGCCTTGAAAGTGGGAGGCCTTTTTAAAGAGCCTACAAAACTGTACATGACTTAGAGTTAGAGATGAGAGCTTGGAAGTCACAAACTAATTGAAAACACATGGCATGTTCATTTTAAGTGTCCATTTGGGGGTGGGTCTGTCTGGTTCTCAGCTTGGATCATTAGAGTGGTGTATGTTATCAACCACAGAGGTATCACCTACATATTGGGAATGGTGACCTTGTGGTTAAAGCAGATCTGTTGGCAGCTCTGTCCCTGACTCACTGTGCTGTCTTAAGCAAGTTATTTAACCTTCTACGCATCAGTTAGCCCATGTAAAATATTACCAGAGAAGTATGAAGAGTGATCAGCTTTTGTAAAACTCTTTGAGATGCTCATATAGAACTTGCCGTTAACACCACATGATGGTGGTGAGGGCGATAGTAGTAGTGGGCTATATTAGCAGTAGTCGCAAGGATACATCTTACATTGAGCAGGGTCTGAGGACTTCTATACTTCCCCTTGTGTTACTACTGCCAAGCAAGATACTGTGTAACTGTGTTTTGTATTGCAGGTTTTCTCCAGAAAACACAGAGCTCCTTACCACTCTGGGTTTACTCTATTTGCAGGTACTAAACACTGTTGGCTACTGTGAGGGCCTAATTATATTTTAAATGACCTGACAGTTGTATATGGAGTAATGTCTATTCATCTCCATGTGAGTGTGTCATATTGCTTAAAAGGCCACATCAAGACAAGGTGGAGCTTGCTCCTCTGTCTCTTTCTCTCATTTGGCTCCCAAAGGGAAGTAACTTGACTTCCTGGTTCTGAGCCAGAGTAGAAATTCTATTTGGCTTCTGCCCTAATTGTGTTACTCATCCTCCCAAGTACAATAAAATGTCACTAGTCATTACCTTGTTTCTGAGGAAGGAGCTTAGCAAGTTATTCTCCTAGAGAAGCAGCCATGAAATTGTTCAACACGAACGCATCTTGGAGAAAATGGGAAGCGATTTAAATAACACTGGCACTTTTATTACTAGGGTCTTAGATCATAAGCAAAAGCTCATCTGTCTCCCAAAGTACCTTCTCATTGCAGTCCTTGGTACAGCTGTCATCCTTTGCTCAAGGCTGCTGCAGGCCAAGACTCAAGGGCATAAGTAGAGCTATGGAGGGAGCAGGAGAGGCAGCGCAAAGAGCGGTGCATGTGCAGAGTAGCATGGACAGAAATTTGCACAACTGTACATACTAACTTCACTTTTTTGTGGTGCATCACATCCCTGGACTCCAAAATCCACTTCACGTACCTTGCTGGTCTCCATGAGTTAGATCTTCTGCCAGCAGGAGCTGGTGCAGTTGTGGAGGAGGGGGAAGGTATTAGCATTTGAACAAAGTCACACACCAACAAGTAACACCATGGATTGAATTTATACTTTAATTATACCGGTGCAATTCCTTGAGCATCTCCATTGAAGCCACTGAGATTTGAGAACAAGATCAGGGTTAGCCTCACTCCTGCAATACTGCTAAGCATGCTCCACTCCCATTGACTTTAGTAGTTGAAGGTGGCCTAAGCAGTTTTTGGGGGCATTTCTGTCCAGGGAAGGGCCCTGTGGAGGGATGGGGTAGCGGGATGGGGGGGGGGGTGAGGAAAAGTGATCAGGGAATCTGTGCTGTGGCACAGATAGTTCTTATTCCCCAACACAAACAATATAGAAAGCTATTTCCTGGGCTAGACAGTTTGCGTCAAGCTGCACAGTGTCCCCTCTGTGATCAGAGGGATCCATTTTGTTCCAGCTGGTTATGGCTTGGGAAGCAAGACCAGTGCACGTGTGCAGGGTAACGCTCACTCTTCTGAACCCCTGGTTTTAAGTGATAATCACAAACGCTGTTTGTCATCTGGGTACTTAATCCCTTATGCCTGCATTTCTGACACTCCTCTATCTTTTCCCAGCTTGGGGCTTATCAGAAGGCATTTGAACATCTTGGAAATGCACTTACATATGATCCCAGCAATTATAAGGTACCATGAGAAATATGTACAAGCCAGTTAGTGATGACATGAGGGCTGTAAAAACTCATTAATGTAAACTATCCTCCATACTAGAGCACAGGGTGAGGAGGGAGCCATGCTCACAAAAGCTTGTTCCAAAGCACATTTCTATGAGCTCCATCTGATGGGGATGGAGGATGTTATTGATGGGGCCTGTTTGCTTTTAATGGAACGTTTCATATCTTCTCCACAGAAGGATTTTTAACAAATGGAAATTGCTTTTCACCAATGTATTCCTTCAAACTGGTGCAATTCATCATGAGAGCTGTGCAACACTTTGCTGGGAATTCAGTCTTTCTGGAGCAGAGCACAGAAACGGCTGAATAAGGGGGGTGCGGTAGAACATACTCTCCTGCTAGTCTGCAAAGACTGTAATGCATACGCAATCTCTTTCCCAGCGGTAGTATGTGTGGGGGTAACTTTAGTCTAGCTAGGTCATCGTGGGGTCTGAATAATGGGGTTAATGTAAATCATTTTGAAATCTATGGAGGGGGAGGCAATGAGTAAATACAAAGCAAGTATTATAATAAGGAAGACAACATTGCCCTTCCCGGCTGTACGCCAGCTCACTGGGACGTACTGCAAATAATGGGTAGGACAAATGTAAGTTAGTGTAAATGGAGTTGCTTTTGGGGCAGTATCGGTGATTCTCTTTTTAATCACATATGCTCAATGGTTTGCAGTGTCGCCCTCAGCCAGTGTTGTGTGACCTGTCCAGGTTTTGCTTGGAATTAAGGAATGTTTCCATCTTCCCCAAGTCGCCCTGGGAAGATTTCTGTGCCAGTTTGTTGTTTAAAAGAAACTATTATATGGACCTTTTCAGAGCCCAGGCTTCTGGAAGCTGCTGTAGTGACTCACTGTGCTTGCCAGAGGAGGCTGTGAAGGCTGGGACTAGAACAGAGGTTAAAGAGAAGCTAGATAATTTCCTGGAGGTTAGGTTATTCCATAAAAGGCTATTAGCCAGGGGATAAAATGGTGTCCCTGGCCTCTGTTTGTCAGAGGCTGGAGAGGGATGGCAGGAGACAAATCGCTTGATCATTGTCTTCGGTCCACCCCCTCTGGGGCACCTGGTGCTGGCCACTGTGGGCAGACAGGATACTGGGCTAGATGGACCTTTGGTCTGACCCAGTACGGCCGTTCTTATGTTCTTGTGTAATGCTCATTAGCTGTGTTGATCGGGGAAGAGGGTGTGGGAAGCATGGGGCCCTTTCCCAGTGCCCTGCTCCCTGCCGGTCAGAATGTACATTTCTCAGCTGCTCTCACTTTGGTAGCCTCCAGCAGAGTGTTCCCCCAAAGAGACTCTCCATTCCAGGCATTGGCCTGGCTTTTAGTTTAATAACCTTGTAGAATTTTTTCTCCCCATGTTTGGGGGAAGTCCCATGCCTCAAGCACTCACTGTCAAGCTCTTTTGCAGGCCATTTTGGCAGCTGGCAGCATGATGCAGACTCACGGAGATTTTGATGTAGCCCTCACCAAGTACCGGGTAGTAGCCCACACTATGCCCGAAAGCCCCCCCTTATGGAACAACATTGGAATGTGCTTCTTCGGCAAGAAGAAATACGTGGCAGTAAGTGCTTAATTCCCTTCCATTGCCATCTCTAGTTAATTGATCTGGGTGAGGAGAGAGATAAAACAAGGCTCCTCCCTCTGCGGTGGAGACTGGAGGAAGTCTTGTCCATGCAGGCCAAGGCACTGAGCAGTCGTGTTCCTCTGTGCAGGCTATCAGTTGCCTGAAGCGAGCCAACTACTTGGCTCCCTTTGACTGGAAGATTCTGTACAATTTGGGACTAGTCCACCTGACAATGCAGCAGTACGCCTCTGCTTTTCACTTTCTCAGCGCTGCTGTCAACTTCCAGCCCCGCATGGGAGAGCTCTACATGCTGCTGGCAGGTAAGGCCCTTCTCTCCGGCTCACTCGCTTTTCTGCAGACCTGAATGAATCTTGCCTTGGGGACACAAGGTGTGAAAGCAAGGAGGAGGCAAGAGACACTGTGGAGATAGCCCTGCTGCCCGAGTCTGACGCGGGGGCTCCGAGAGCATTGACGTTCAGAACGCCCCTTTGCAAACAGGCTCTGGGCCTGGGGAAGCAGAACCACCCCTGTGAGGCGTGCGCGGGAGGCTTGGCCTTGCTAGCGAGCTTACGTGTGTCTCTGTGTGTTTCTTCGGGCAGTTGCTCTGACAAACCTCGAGGATGTTGAGAATGCAAAACGGTCCTATGAGCAAGCTGTAGCACTGGACAAGTAAGTCTCTTTCCTGACCGTTGTTTGGGCACGACATGTCCCTCCCCTACCCCGCCATCCCTTTCGCTTTCTGTCCCTCTGGTCTCTCGCTTGTAAGTTGTACAGGCCAGGGGCCGTCTCTCATTGGGCCCATGTGAGGGATGTAAAAGGTAACCGGTGAGCTTCACCCTTAATGAGTGAGACTTACCAATTGTGCTTAACTGCTAGGGGCTGGAGTGGCTCCCCACCCACCCTGGGCAGGGCTGCTCCAGCCCCACGGGGCCCACGGCAGGCAGAGGCTGATCCGCATGTCTGGAATAGCTCCTGTCCATGGCTGCCTGGCCAAGCCCTTCCTGCCATGGGTTATATGCTGTGGGGCCTGCAGCAGTGTCTCCTCAGGAGCAGGGCCAGCAGCCCCTACTGGTCCCACTCTTAGGGGAGGGCTTCACTGAGCTAAGCTGCATATTGCAGAGCCTGTAGTGCGTGAGACTAAGATTTGTAGCGGTTCCACAGTTACCTTTTCAAATGACTTTTTACATCCCAAATCTGCATATAGCATATAGCACAGCAGAGCTCTGGTCTTGGTTGGGGCCTCTCGGCATTATGTTAATACTGGTACTGGGGCTCTAGGAGAACCACCGCTAATGCTAACAGGAGAAACTGCACCGGCCTCTAGGCGGCCCCACACAACACCCGTCTTTTAGCCTCCCCTCAAGAGCCAGAGGGCAAGGGTGAGGAGTCCTTTTCCTCTGGCGCCTTAGGAATGATGGACGCACCGAAGCCTGTGAAAAGCACAGCTGGTTATAAGCCCATTTGCGCTGCAAAGCGACCATGGAACGGCCCCGCGCTCAGCACACGTACGGAGAGTTGACTGTTCACTTCAGTAGCAACATTCATACCTGTTAGCCTTGCACAGCCCTGGGAGTAGCGGGAGTCTCTTCCCGCTCCTCATCAGCAGAACTATTAACTAGGGGGAAATCACATGGGCACGTCCTGCCCTCGGTTCCCACGCCAGCTGTGCAGCGGGGCCTGCGTACTGTTATGTGTAGGGAGGAAAATCTCAGCCTGACTTGGGCCACGCCTATACTTACCCACCGGTCAATGATCTTCTGGCCCGCTGATTTAGCGGGTCGAGTAAGGAACTGAACACTGCAGACGCCCCATCAGCGCTGGTACTCCTACCCCTCATGAGGAGTGAGTGAAGTCGGCAGGCCCGCTGTGGGGACAGCTCCAGAGTTTGGATCAGTGTATGTCGACTCCAGCTGCACAATTAACAGAGCAGGAACTGTCTCTCTTAACTCCAACTCATCCCCTAGTGTAGACCTGGCCTTAGGGAACCCAAGGAGAAATTGCAGGTCTGTCTGTTTGAAAGCTCACAAACTGGGCACATTTAGACTGGCATTCTGGAGAGACCAGACCCCCAGGACCCCACTGCTCAGAGTAGAACTGCACCTTTGCCGATGCTATGTGACAGGTGACTTGTGAGCACCACGCCGTGTACCTACGACGAGGGAGTGTGCTGCATGTCCGAAACAAGCATTCGGACCCAAGGCGCTGCCCACCAAGCCCTGTGTCTTTCTCTCTGCTTTCCAAATCCACGCCCTCCGTGATTTGTCAGGGGTCCAGATGCTTGCTCCGGTGTGTTTTGTGCTAATGAAAATGCTTGAATTAGGCAGAGTTTGCCAAACTCCGTTCTAACAAGCTGGCGCTGGCGTGATGCCACAGCCGTGTAGCATTACCCAGAAAACAAACCTGCCCCCAGGCAGCAGGAAAGCCAACTCCAGTGATTGCTGGGAAGCAGACTCTAGCTGTGCGAGCCTTGGGTCTCTCTTGTTTGTTCGGCTGACGCCCCTTGTACTTTCTCCAGTTGTCCCTTTCCCACAGATGCTTCTGGCTGATCTCACACAGTTTGGCTGGGGAGGTGATTACAGTTTGCTTCCATCTCCATGAATAACTTGTATAGCAGCAGCATGATATTTGCTCTGGGTGCCAGATAGAGGTCTGGAAAGATAAAGACCTTGTGGGTGGCTCAGACAAGGAGTCCGTAGGGTACTTCCTCCCTCCTGTGTTGACACACAACCTGGCTGCATAGCTTCCAGTTCACCCAGCTCCGGCCAGGGCAGGGAGACATGGAGGAGGGTTGCCCCAAGGTGCCACCCGCTGCAGCTCCAAGCATCACTTACTGGCACACTCCAGCTGTAGATCTGCTAAGCAGTGCAACAGTGGTTCCCCCTACCCCAGTGTCCTTGGACTGTTCTCGGGACACCCGGTAAGCGGGGAGAGGGGTGTCAGCAAGTGGCTAAGCAGTTGGAGGAGCCAGGTTTGCAGGGAATACTCGCTCAGTGCACAGAGACACTGACAACAAATGTCCCCAGCAAGCGGCTGGGTGTCTGCTGGCATTTGGAGCACTTGTGTACGATGGTGCACGCACGGTTTGTGTCCCAGCTCCCCTCCAGCCAGGCTTCCCCGGCTGCTGCGCAGACACACGCTTGCCAGGGAGCATGAAGTGCATCCTGCCCCATGTTCCCTGGCAGCTCTCAGCCAGAGCACGCTCCTGGGGCCATTCCTGCACCCCACTGGAGGTGGCAGCCCCAGCTGTTTTGCCTGCAGAGCTGGTCCCAAGTGGACAATTTTTCTGGGGGCAGGGCAAGTGTGGGTTTGTTTTTCCTGCTACAGATTTGCCGAACCAATTGTAGCGAGGAATAACACATTTAGTTGGGCATAAGCTTCTGTGGGCTGGGGCCCGGTAGCCACAGGACCCCTCGTTGTTTTGGGGAGACACTGACACAGCTCCCCCCGAGATGTGAACCAAACGTGCTTGGTCTTTCAACAGAAACTTACTTTCCAGCAGAAATCCAGTAAGTCGGCCTGAAAGCTAGGAACAGTGGAACCCAGGGGCTTCCCCTTGAAAAGTCTGACCCACCTTGCCTGTACCACGGGCGCAGTCTGGCTGCCTGCCTGCCTCTGGCACTGGCCTCCCCGGAGGGCTGCCATGGTGCTGCACACGTGGCTGGAGGCTGCTGCCTGCGCGTCCTTTGTAGGCGGGAGCCAGCTGTGCGCTGGGAGCGGGTCTCCTGGCTGCCTGTCACTGACCCTCCAGACGGTCTGCTGCAGGTGCAATCCCCTGGTCACTCTGAACTACGCAGTGCTGCTGTACAACCAGGGCGATCAGAAGGGCGCGCTGGGCCAGTACCACGAGATGGAGAAGAGAGTCAACACCCTCAAGGAGAGCAGCACTCTCGACTTTGACCCTGAGGTAGGTGCGTGGGAACAGCCGTCTGGATAAGAGGGCTTGTCCATGGGGCAGGGAGTGCACTGGTGTGTGGCGCAATCACTGGTCCGTGTAGACCCTGCTTGGGGCACACTTGAAGGCTCCCTAAAGGTTCTGAAGTGCACCCCGGGAATGCATGGCCCAATTAACGAGAACCCTTTCATGCTCTTCAGAAGCCTGTGGAGAGCGTGTTCGCCCCCCACCTGCACAAGCCCCGACTGGCATGCGGCAAGCAGGGGGCCCTTTGGGACGGATGCCAATCACTTGGGTCAGTCCCCGCAAGAGAGGAGGCCGTTGTGCGTTGCTATCTCCTGTCGAGCGCTGCAGCTCGTTCTCGCGGCCCTGACTCTAAGCCCCGCCCTAGGATGAAGCGGCTGCTCAAACCCGCAGATGGACGCTGAGGCACAGTGGCCCTGGCTTGGGACAGGCGCTGCTGCGGGGCTGCTCCGGGGGCTGACTTTCTCCTCTTTCTGTTGCATGAGAAGATGGTGGACATGGCCCAGAAGGTGGGAGCGGCCCTGCAGGTGGGAGAGAGTCTGGTTTGGACTAAACCCGTCAAAGATTCCAAATTAAAGCAGCGAGCCACTGCACCTAGCAAGCCCTCCAGCACCCAGCAGCCTCTGGGCTCTAACCAAGCCCTGGGCCAGGCCATGTCTTCAGCAGCTGGGTATGGGAAGACTCTGCAGCTTTCCACAGGTAGGTCCCTTGCATCTCTTCCCCCTGCCAAGCCCAGGGCTAGGGAGGATATTTAGCAAGACGCTTGCGGGGTGATGCACGGAGGCACCAGAAGTGCACGTGACAAGTGCAGAGGGTGTGGCCTGCGGCAGATGAGATGGGCTGGGGCAGTGCTGAGCTCTAGCCCTCTCCCCCGTCCGGGGCGGGGCAGTGCTGAGCTCTAGCCCTCTCCCCCGTCCAGCTAGCAATGAGAAATCCTGTTGCATTGGTTAACCCATGGCTGAGCCGGCGACTGCAGCTTGGGGACTTCCCCAGCTCCCCTCTGGTGGAGCGGTGCTGCCAGCCTGGCCTGCCTTCCCTGCTCAGGGCATCTCCTAGTAGGGCTCAGCGGAAGCACCAGGTGCCGGGACTTTGTCCAGGCACCTCCCCCACAGCCACGCTCAGCCCAACCTCCCCGGCAACGGATCCTTGCTGCATGAGGGGTGGAGCCTGGAGAGAGAAGGAAACTCTGCTCCCAGGGATCTGTCACAGGTAAGCTGCCTCCTCGAGGGCCCCTTGGCACACGGCTTGCGCCTTCAGTTAAACAAGCGTTGCCTTTCTCAGGCCCTTTCCATTCAGCACCCTTCTGACCTGCTGAAGTGAGCCCTGGCCGCCCCCGGGCCAGCTCTGCCGTACCCAGGGGAAGCTGAGTCCTGTTGTGACCACTGGGCCTGCGGGCTTACCTGTAAATAGTGAGCAAACCTTTCTAAAACGTATTGCCTGGGCATGGAAAGGGGTGCAGGGAAACCGGAGCTGAATCGGGCTGAGTCTGGCCCAAGAAGGCCGTGTCGGTACAATGAGGTCTGCTGACATGGTGCTTGTTAAGAACAGGAGATGCAAAACCAATGGGGAAGAACAAAGGCTACTGGAATGAGCTCCACCCTCATGGCTGCCACCTATCCCCCTAATTTCCCGGAGCCCCGGGCTGCCTTCAGCCAGCCCCTGAGAGGAGGCCAGAGCCAGGCACCCAGGCAGTATCACCCCCTCTGTCAGCTCCGGCTGAATCCCAACCACCTCTGGGGATGAGGGACTGGAACAGCAGCTCCAGCTCCCCTCCCTGCGTTCTGCTCTGGTCCCCCGAAGGGCAGTGGTCACCAGAGACTGTAGGACACGGGGGGTCCTTTCACCCCCCGCTGAGCGGAACAGGAACCAGGGCTGATCCTGGTGAAAGCTCCACTCAACGCTTTGCCTCTGCCAGACCTGGGCTGGTTTCCTTCGCGGGTCTGTGTGGAAAGGTTACAAGGGGTTTAGCGGCGGTTGCTGTGGCACTGAGCAGGCCGAGGTCTCCGTGTGTCAGCCCTTGTGGAGCATGGTTAGTGTTGGACTGTGACTAGGCCAGCATCTTGAGTCCATCTGGTCCATCCACATTGGTACAGCCTGTCTCGGTCCTTGCGGAGCCCGCTGCCAGCCTTTTGCCTGAGCAATTAGCTGCCAGTCCCAGTGGCACAGAGGAACGTACGGGACTGGCTGTAACTGTGTGTTGTATCTTTAGGTGCTGGAGCATCGGCTCCCCTTACAAAGCCTCCGTCGCTGCCTCTGGAACCGGAGCCAGGCCCTGAAGAGACCACATCCCCTACAGAGTCCCAAGAGCGGAGGAGAGAGAAGCGCAAAAGCAGGCTGGCCACGGAGTAGAAGAGCAGCCCAGGAGCCGCCCCAGCATGGCCTGCAGTGACTGCACTATTGCTGCTGGCTGCCCAGGGACATGAGCACCTGGCCTCAGGGAGTCTTTGCTCCACGGCCCCCAGCAGAGGTTCTGGTGAGCTACCCACGAGAGCTGCTGCAGGAGGGAACCACGGTCTAGGCCCTGCCTCCCTGTCGCATTGCTTGCACGGCTGAGATGGGTGTGAGCAGCGCTTGAAGCAGCTCTCCACTTAGGCTCCCTTGCTAGAGGCACTAAGTGGCTCAGAGGAAGCTCTGCCAGCCCCTGTAGGGAGCTCAGTGGAGGGGGTGCTAGAACAGTAGCAGGACAGGCGAGTGGAAGCCAGATCAGCCCGAGGAGGGAAACAGCCCTGCCCGCAGGCCGGGTGGAGGGGCAGCAGTTCAGGCTGTGCTCACGGGGGCAGTGAGAGGCTGTCGTGCAGTGCTCCAAAGACCAGTGCGCCCGTTGCCTGCTTACCGAGGCCCAGCCTCTCGGTGTCCAAAAACCTGGGGAAAGCGTTTCCAGCTCTTTCCTCAGGCAGCTAAGCTGGGAGCGGCTTTGCCTCCCTGCACACCAAGCTCCAGGCCTGTTCGCAGGGCGGTGTGCTGCGAGGGAGCGAGGTCTCAGCCAGTGGCAAAGGAAGGGAGATGGGATTTGCATCTCTTTCAAGCTTAGCCTGCTGCTGGTTTTGCTCCAGGGCGCTCTGGCTGGCAGAGCAGAGTTACTTCAGTACCCCACTAACCGCTGCCTCAGGCTGGGTTCATCATGTGGAGCTACTTGCCCCCTGCTCTCTGGGAAGTTTCTAGCACCTCTAACAGGCGGACAGCTGTGTGTGTTCTGGTGTGGCAGGCCAGACCCACTTCCATTCCCACAGTCACTGTGAGAAGGGACAGGCTGACACAGCCAACCAGAGTCAGGAAAAGTTTCTGCTTTAATTTCTGCCTTTCCCAGCATCCCTGCAGAAGCTGCAGCTGTCCCCTTTGGAGAGCTTACACCGGTGGAGAGTTCTCTTTTTGAACCGTGGATGCCTGGCTGCAGGCAGGAGGATCTGCTGGAACAGAATTATCCCATTTCCTTGGTCTGTTCCAACTCTTCCAAATTCGATTGCAGCCCACAAAGGAGAACTGGCACCATGTCCATTCAGCCCCATGCGTGCTGGGCAGGGAAAGGTCTACCCCCTCCCCCAAGCTTCTGTGCATTGGGGCTGCCTTGTCCTCCAGCTGTGATGAGGCAGGGACTATAGGAAGGGCTTGTGGGACTGAGACAGTAGCATAGTTGGCCTGAGCCAGACTTGCTAGGACAACGTGGCTGAGGAGGAGCACTAGGCGGAGATGCTCTACCAAGCTCCACCTGCTCCCTGCCCCAGAAAGATGAGACCAGGCCCAGGCTTGGCCTTTTACAGCTTGCTGCTAGTTACACCAATGAGGTCACTTGCAGTCCGCTGTTGCTAAGAGAATTCTCACCTTTGGAACAGTGGAGCTGCTGGCAGACTTTACCCCAGCCTGGCCCCGGAAATTCCTCCCCAGCAGCTGTAGCCACACTAAGCACCTCAACAGAAAGGACCTCAGTTATACACTGAGACTAGTTTAACAGTTAAGCCAGTTTCTCTCCCCTTTACCCACTGTTTGTATCTTCTAGCTGCCCTGCCCTGCGTGCCACAGCAGCCAGGAGAGCTGCTCTTTCAGCACACAGCGGATCCACTGCCAAACTGTCAGGATGGGGATCGGTGTAGTCCTCGACTTCCTCGCCCCCAGTGAGTGCGATCACTGCAATGCCCTTCACACAACCCCCCTTAGCACGCTTACTGATGGTGGATGAGCCTACTGTGTGTTCCGTGGGTTTCCTGCAGCTGCTAGTGCTGCTGGCCTGTCAGCTGTCTGAGGGCTGAGTGCCTAACCTACCTGTCATTTACCAGTCCTAACTGTAGCTGTATTAGGGAACAACTGTATTAGTGTGGCATCAGTGCTGTTCTGCATAGCTGACAGTAACGAATCCGACTGCACTAGAGGACAGTTAATGTTCCCAGAGTCAAACCTAGTCACTGAATGCCTGGTGCAGCTGAGGCAAGGGTCCAGCAGTGGGACTGGAAAGCCCCGTTGTACTTTCTGATTAGCAATTGTGCAAAATGACGTGAATGCAGCTCTAAGGTTATTAAAGTGCAATCAGGAACCAAAGTTAATGTACTGGGGAGGAGGGGTTAGCTGACAAGATCTGGATCTATTAAACACACTAATGGAACAGCTACAGATTCTTTTTTTTCCTAACTGAATTGCCCTGTTTAAACCAGTTTTCACTTCCTCACAAGGTAACTGGTTTGGCAGTTCCGTTGTATTACAGCCACTGCTCGCTGCATCCCCCTGGATTGAGGGCCCTGGGCTAGATACGCTACAAAGCAGAGTTTCTTCCCTGGAGAGCTTAGACAAGAGCAACGGTAGGTGGAATGGGAAGCGACTTACTAGACACATCAGTTTGATGTAGATACTTTGTTAGTTGACGTTTTATTCTGAAATAGTCCTGCTGCAGGGCACTGCCATTTCATGGGGTGCAGGAGGATTGATTTTTCTGGGCAAGGAGCACTCTTTGCTTCTAAAGTAGAGAGACTTTAATAAACAGTTTGCTTCAGCATTAGCAGTAGATTTATTAACTAAGTGAGCCTACCAAAGTTGCTTTAACCCCTCTTGGCAAGGTGCTGCTTTGTACCCGTCAGACTAGAGAGGAGGCAGCCACTCGTGTTTGAGCCCAAAGTAGGCAACAAGCCCATGGGAGGGTGAGCTGCTGGAACAGGAAGACTGTGGCTTCTTCCCCCTTCCCTAAATACTGGTTATCCTAGTAATGACCTCTTTGCACTGATAATCTTGCCCGGAAGCATGCCTGTGGAAGTGGGGGAGGGGCAGGACTGGGAGGGCTGCGTCTAGCAGGTTATGAAATATGCTGGCTGCACTTTATTGATTGCAGCAGCTGAGGCCCTGCTGACAGCTTCACAATGAGGTGTGGCTCTTGAGGCACCACAATGTTTGATCTGCAGACCTAAAGAGATACAAACTACTCACCCTGTCCCCAGAAACACGCCTCTTCTAGGCTCCTAAGTGCCCAACACCCCTCCCTCCTGACAAAGTCTGACATCCCACCATTCCCTGCGATCAGCCTTCCTCTATTGTGGCAAAAAGTTTCCTTAAACAGCCTTGTCCACTCAGCCAAGGAAGCAAGGTGAGGTGGGCTGCATAGTGCTTGAAGCAACAAAGTTTGGCTGAAAGAAAAGTTTAATGCATAAAACAGTTTTGGGTGCTGGGCTGGAGTGCACTGGCCTCCTTTCCCCATCACTCCTTAAAGCATTCTGTGAGGGATACGCAACAGGACTCCTGATCAACAACATAGATAAAACTAGTGATTTCCCCCCCTACAGGCTCAGGATATGATCTTTATACCACCATCCATTCCTTACCGTGTTTCTCACTTTAACAATGTTCCCACTACCCTTCTCTCTCTGTACGTATTTAGGCTTGGAAAGGATTGGTGTCTGTCTTACTCATACGCATCAGTAAACTCTGATTTCACTGTGCACACACAAACCCATGCAAAAATAGTTCCAGCTCTCATCTAAATTTAGATGGCCCATGGAAGAGCAGTGCTGCTTGAGAATTTCTTAGACTTCCACCTTGATTTGTATAAAACATGTTGCATTGCTCACATTAGTGCCATTTAGGAACTAACTTTTTGAATCTCAAGAGTAACATTGTCATTAAATTAGTCTCACCCCCCAATAATTTCCCACAATGAAAATTTAAATTGATAATCTAAAAAAGCTTTAAATTAAAATCAGTCTCACAAAACAGTCAAGTTCTGCCAAGCCCCTGGGCTGTGTCTACACTGGGCCACTTATTCTGGAAAATCAGCCGCTTTTCCGGAATAAGCTGCAAGCTGTGTACACTGGCCCTTGAATTTCTGGAAAAGCAACAACGCTCTACTGTACAAAGTCAGCCACTATTCTGGAAAAGCTACGCTGCTCCCACTCGGGCATAAGTCCTTATTCCAGAACACTGTTCCGGAAAAGGGCCAGTGTAGACAGGCCAGTAGTCTTTTCCGGAAAAAAGCCCCGATCCTGAAAATGACGATGAGCTCTTTTCTAGAAAAGCGCATCTACATTGGCCACAGATGCTTTTCCGGAAAAAGGGCTTTTCCGGAAAAGCAGCCTGCCAATGCAGACGCTCTTTTTCCGGAAATACTTATAACGAAAACTATTCTGTTTTAAGCATTTCCGGAAATTCATGCCAGTGTAGACACAGTCCTGGTGTGTGGTACATTCTATTACTCTTAAAGGGGTAGAGAAGGCAGAAAGTAATCCAGCACCTGTCACTTACCCTAGCTTAGACTTCCCCACTCCACTCAGATGGGGGCTTGCCTCAGCTCTGTAGTAATCTCACATCTGTCATTCCAATACAGTCCTTTGTTGTAGCCTGGCTGGTGAAAGACAGGGTTGTAAACAGTCTCATCCAGTGCGAAGGAAAATAAAGGCAGTGGCTATGCTGTGAGAAGCACCAGTTCCTCTGTCTTACTCAGCCATTTCTCGTTGCTGATAATGGTGTAGTATCGCGATAGAATACAACTGCAGGCATGTGTTTCCTGTTAGACATAGTCTAACAGGCCTGTATTGTATTAGCTGGTGAGCAGGCACCTGTAGTCTTAAATAAAAGCACCCCCTTCATTAGCCTGGCTTTGGGCCAGAAGTACTTGACAGCACTACTTTAAAAGAATTTGCTCTATCTGTGAATACCGGCACCTATGCCAGACATCAAGATTACTGCAAAGAACCAATGGGATAGCTACACATGGACAGTGGTCTTCCCCTAGCTAAGCAGGAATTGGTACAAATTACTTCTGTAACCAGACTGGGTTATGCTTTGCTTTTGCCACTCTCGAGTCTGTTCCCACTTGCCACTTCATGTTTCAGAAAGTGATTGGAAAACTGCTGATGGCACACAATTACTCAGTAGTTCCTGAAAGTTCAACACCAAATTATAGCATGTAAATCAGCAAGGCAGAGCATAGCTCATCAGTGGATTTCACAGTCCAGCATAGGACGTGCCTTTTGTTTCTTATACTCCATTGAATGTCAGTGTTGCACGTGCCAGAAGCAGCAGCCTATACCTCAAGCAAATACAATAAGCAATATACAATAAGCTTCTTGAGAGACAAGAACCCCAGACACTGCAGCTGGCTTCACATCAAGTTTTACAAAAGGCCATGAGTGTCTGTAGACACATTTGGAATCTCCACAACTGTGGCTAAGTAGGGTGCATCAGCCCATGCAGTCTGCTGAGAGGTGAGACAGGCCAAGGTAAATGATAGGACAATTTCAGGGCCTAGGCAAGATAGTAGACTTAGTCAGCTTTCCCTGACTAAGAGCTGAGATCCTGGAAGAAAAGTAAGTTGAGTGGTGCTGCTACACACCTTCATGTGGCTCTTAAAGTCACAGAATCAGATGATTAGGGTTGGAAGAGACCTCGGGAGATCTAATCCAACCCTCTTACTCCATAAACGAAGGATGAATTCCCGAACTGGCAGGATGCATTGTCTTGGGCGGTGCTAGTGAGTTTGTGCTTGGCATCCATGTTCACAAAGGTTGTGCAATAATGTACATTTATCCTAATGGCAGGTACCTCAAACCTGTTAAAATGGCTCCAAGAAGAAAATTGGCCTTTTCCTCAAAAACAGTAAAGTGCTGTCCCTTCGAAACCCAAGATAGAATTCACTGGAGGAGGCGTTCGGATATCTAAGGAACTAGAGGATGCACGCTACAGCCCTGGTTCCTCCCTCTTGCCATGGTGTTGCAGAAAGATTCAGACCTAAAAGCCAGAAAGGACCATCATGATCGTTTTCTCACCATATGCACAGACTCGCCTCAGTATTTTCCAGCATTCTGGATTTGATCTGAATCCACAAGCCAACAGTAGTTACTGGTGAACGCCATTTTGTGTGGCAGCAGGAAGGCATGCGACAGCTCCTAATGTATACCTCACACAGCCCTGTCGGGCACTGCTCTTCTGATTGTAAATGCGTGTGAGACCCATAAGTCCAGATTACATCAGTTCTCTGGTTTTCGCTACAGGAAAATTCCACAGTTAGCAATACTAGCATGAAAGGAAACTAGCATCAGCCTCCTTCTGCTAGTTTGACAATATGCGGGGAGAGGTTTGCACTGCCAGATTCAACTGATGGTGACTGCAGCCAATTCTCTCCGGTAGATTCACTGTAAGACATTCCATCTGGTCCCCTTACACAGCAGGGATGCTTTTACAGACTTGGCTCTAATAGGTGCCCTGCTGCCTTGTACTATATTCTGGTTTTCTTGATGATGTTTGCGGTAGGCCTAAATGACAGAGGGGAATGCATGGCCAGGCTGAACAGCTTGCAGTTCGTAAGAGTAGAACGCTGCCCAGTCCTTTGGACACACTAAGCAGAGGTGCACACACCCCGTTTTCCCTTAAGAAAATATCTCTCAAAGCTGCTTCTGACTGTAGCATTCACTTTTCATGCATATGGCAACTAAAAAAAATCCTCTCCTCAGCACAGTCTCCTCAGACATCACCCAGCAAGTTTTGCAGCGACTCGGTAGAACCCTTGTTGGTAGTGTTGGAAGTCCATCATTTCTAAACTTAAGAAATCTGTTCCTGAACACAGAACATGTGCACTTGCGAGCAGGGATGTGAAAGGTTAACCAGTGGGAGCTGGAGCCCTGTGGGGCCCAGCACAGAGGGGCTGCTTTGGGCATCTGGAGCAGCCACTGTCTGGCTAGCCTGGGGGACTGCAGGCAGGGGCTGCTCTAGCCCAGGGAGTGCCTCCCACTTAATTGGTTAACCAATTAAACTTCATATTTAAACAGTTAACCACTTAAGCAGGATTTTACATACCTGTAGCAGGAGAAAGAAACTGTCAGTCATATTGAGTTTTCAATCAACACTGACTTGCATTTTGCTTCTGTACAATGTAGGCTGGCTTCAGCTAGTTCTCAAGGGGAAGCACAGAAAGCCTTAGTACAATGCTATTGAGACACTACCAAGAGAAAAATGGCAAATAACATTTAATTAAAAAACTGTACGCGAAATATATCCTACAGTACAAGACAGTTCTCTTGTTCTCACAGTATGACGTGCATGCTCTGTTCTTGTGATTTACAAAGTTGCCACAAGCAGTGGAATAATATACTGAAACACAAATCATAATTAACTCTGCGACACACACCAAATATACTGCCAATCAGAAGGCTTCTTCCTAGTATTTCTTGTGTGAGGGACAGGTCAGGTCAGCTACCTTAAACTAGTAATAACTTCTCTCTCCAGAGACCACCCAACCCCTCTGAACCAAAGATAAGCATGTCCAAGAAAATTATAGCACTAGCATAAAAGTAAATCAAGTTTTCATCAGCAATAGTCTATGTATGACCTCAAGGAAGAAGCTGACATGAGCATACGCCAGCCAGAAAAGCATAAATGGGGAGTCTCACTAGCTAAAACACAGGGCGATTTCTGTGCAGCTAAGTTACATTTAGATTTGAGGCTCATTTTAAGGTAAACAAGCAAATAATCTATCTCCTAAAAGACAGGCCTTGAGTATCTTACTCTGGCCACCCAGAAATTGAAGAGGATCCTATATGTACAGCCACAGCTACGCAGACCAGATACGAGCACAACTCACAGATAGTCCAGGAAAGCTCTCTCCAGCTCTGTGCATGGAGGATGTATGTATGGTACGTCTCATTTCAATATTGTTTACTCTGGCTCCCTCCCACACATGGGTACTGAGGTTGAGCAGTCATTTTGTAAGAAGTGATAGGATCACAATATGGAACCAGTGGAGAGTTGTTCTTGCAATGTCACAATATGCTGCTAGGAGATAATGCAAGAGCCTTTAGTTTTGCTTTATCAGAAGCAAGACAGGGCTGAGAACTGCTGGGTACTCCCTGGGATTCATAGGCATGAAATTCTGTCTGGCTGCCTTGTTTTCAAGCACTGCAGACAAGACTGGCTTAAGTTAGCAATCAGCAACTCTGTTCCAAATAGGGATTTTGGTAGCAGGTTCCCTCCTCATGACAGCTTAAGACAAAAACAAAAAGGCAGTCTTTGAATTAAAATTCTACAGCTTTTATATTAAAATGAGAAACTCAAGTCAATGCCAAGTGGCTGGAATGTATTATTCTTTGGCTCTTCTCAGATAATATCCAGAGACTGTTTAATATCTCATATTACACCCCCCCATCCCTCCACTGCACTGTCTGAAATCCTGCTGAGAACACCATATTTCTCAGACACTATATTCCTGGAGAAAAAGGCATCTCTACTGAGGGTAGAGTTCTGAATATAGGAGTCCTTCAGCTGAAATAGCATCTCCAAGTCCCACAGTTCGGATGGGATCCTTACACACCAAAACGGGGGTGAAATGGAATGAGATTCCCTCTCTGTGCCACTGAACCACTGGATCATCTGGGCTGAAGGAGATTCTGGAGGGGGCCTCGGTACGGGATGTCACGAATTCCAAGGGAGCTTTAAGAAAGACTCTGTCAGTGTCAATGGTTTCAGTCGCACAAGCCTGTGTCCCTGCCACTCTGGCTCCAGAAGCCACAGCTGCTACCTGGTTTCCCCAGTACCCATCCACAGTAGCCAGAATGTGATAGGCCAGTGTGTGGAAGTGGATCCGGGTGAGGTTCGATGCCTTGTCCATGGTCCTGCCGTGCTTCTTCAGGATCCAGAACAGGATGTCGCTGACGATACCCACGTCTGGAACCTCGTTCCAGGAAGCCAGTGAGGCATGAGGACCAGAAGCCGACTGGGTGAGGAACAGCAGCTCTTGTTCATTTAGCCCAACAGAGTTCACCAGGGGGAAGACCTGCTAACAAAAACAGAGTGAACGTGGAGGTAGAATCACATTTCCCAGTGCTCTATTATGTTGCCACAGTCCACTCAACTGTTCTGCTGTGGGGACGGTTATAGACTTTAGGACAGGGGTGGGCAAAAGGGCCTCCTCAGGCCGGATCTGGCCCAACAAGCAGGTGGATCTGGCCCACAGAGGCCCTGATGCTCCCCTGCCCCCAGGCCAATTAGGGCCTGGGGGCGGGGGAGCGTGCGAAACCTCCGTCCGCCTTGCCAAGAGCATTGAAGCAGCACGTGCTGCTTGTAGGACAGAGGGGAGAGTGGAGGAGGCTTCCCGTGCTCCCTGCCAATCAGGGTCTGGGGGCAGGGAAGCTGCATGAAGCTTCCTTCGCCCTGCCCCGGCCCTGTGAGTAGTCCACAGGCACTTCAAAGTGCCATGTGCTCCTCGCAGGGCAACGTGCCAAGCCTCTTCCAGGGCATGGGTGCCTAGTAGAAAGGGGGCAAAGGGGCTCCCCAATCTCCAGACCAATCATGGTCTGGGGTGGGGAAACCCCGTCCCTTCCGGGGTGGCCCACAGCTACTTCAAAAATTTTTGAAGTGGCCCCTTGGCAAAAATTATTGCCTATCCCTGCCTTAGGGCAATGGATTACATGCACAGGGGAGAAAATGACTGATTTTTTTGGGAAGATTGAAGGATCTCTTTCTGCATGAGCACCCTATCCAACTGATTTGTACAAGGGCTGTTGATTAACCACACTTAACTCATGCAATTAACTCAAATTAATCGTGATTATCGCACTGTTGAATACCAACAGAAATATATTCAATATTTGCAGATTTTTTTCTACATTTTCACTGTTGATTTCAGTTACGAAATACGAAGTGTACAGTGCTTACTTTAGTTTTACAAATACATGTGTATTAAAGATGATACAAGAAATAGTATTTTTCAGTTCACAGTATCCAAATACTGAAGTGCAATCTCTTTACAGGTAAGCGTAAGTTGTAAATGTAGATTTGTTACATAACTGCACTCAAAAACAAAACAATGTAAAACTTTAGAGACTGTAAGTCTACTCAGTCCTACTTCTTGTTCTGCCCACTGCTAACTGCTTATTTACAATGTCACCTGAAAGTGAGAACAGATGTTCACATGGCACTTTTGTAGCCAGCGCTGTAAGGTACAGTGAAATCTTTTGTTAAATCACAAGTCTTTGTTAACTGACATTGCAGCACTGCCGGCTGAAGTTATCAGTAGATGCTCCTTCTCCCTCAGCCTGCCTTGGGCTACCGGGAGACAGATCTGCAAATAGGGGGTGGGGTAGAGCAGTAAGTTTTGTCATCTGGCAAATGCAATTTACTGGCAACCCCCATTCTCCATAAGTGGCGGATAACAAAGCTTTCATTGTATTTACATACCACATATGCTACACATTCAAATGCCTCTTGATGCTTCAGCTACCCTTCCAGACAGCATGCTTCCATGCCAATGATACTGTTTAAAAATTAGAAGTGCCTTCCGAAATCAGAGAGAACTAAGGTGTGCTGAGTATGAAAACCTCAGCAGAGCAGTGACTTTGGCTGGAGTATGAGTACAAAATGGCTCTGCAGGCTATAGAGCTAAAATACTCACTGCTCTCACAAGAGGGAAGCCCAATCCCAATTCCACTTACCACCCACGAGTCAGTCTGTGTGCTGCTCCTGTCATTTTAATTACCTGATGCATAATCTTGCTCATGAAATCCTGGTCAGTCATACTAGCCAATTCCAGGTGTATGGGGATATCGGTGGGGATATCAGAGATAGAGGTCACAGCCTGCACAAGGAAAGACAAGACATCTTTAAGAAACAGAATGAAACAGCTCTTGGGTCCCACTACACGCACCCTTATCTACTCACCTCTGGGTGCAGTCAGATTTCTAAACGATCTAGTTGGCAAAGGGACCATGTTGCTCAGAGGAAGAAATAGGAGCAGGCTCTAACTTTCAGAATCTCAGAGCATGACAATAGCGCTGGACCATAATCTAGACCAGTGGTTCCCAACATTTTCAAGCTTATGGACCCCTTTACAACATATTAACATTTCACAGAGTCCCCTCCACCGCCGGAGGAGACGAGAGGGGAAAAAAGTAAGGGAAAGGAAAAGGAAAAGAAAAGTAAGGATCAAGCCCACTGCAACAGGCCCGATCCAAACATTTAAAACTTCCCTCCGACCTCCTGCACTACTGTCATGGACCACCAGGGGTCCACAGACCATAGGCTGGGAACCACTTATCTAGACCCAATTCCATATTTGTCTAATGGACAAATGCAGAAGACTTTCCAGCCATAACCATGAAATGCTTGTTCCTGAAGCACAAGAGAACACGCTAAATCAGGAGACAGTCAGCCATACGATAAAGAGCAACTTTTACATGAGGCTCGGTTCAACTGCTTCTGCTTCAAGAAGGAAGGAATCCCTTCTGGATTACCCGACACAGCTGCTCCCTACAGAATAGCAAGGTCTCCGCTGCAGCCAACGTGGGATAGAACACTGCATTCAGCTCCAATAACTAGAAAGGTCCACCACAGTCTAACCTCCAGAATGTGGCTGATACTTCTAGGAAGACTTCACTGGCTCCAACCAACAGTAATGTCAGTGCTCGAGGATTTCAGCCAATTCACAAGCCTAGAGTTCCTGCTGTTAGCTGAATGTAGAGATTCAGAGTTGAAGTCTTTGGCCCTCAAGAGCAGGAAGGACAGCAAGGAAGTTGAACAAAGACATCCCCTAACAGAATGCTGAAATCTCAAGAAGTCAACCCCCTGTGCTGCAGTGTTTACTGGGGCAGGAATTAGGGAGACGACTCTTGTTCTTACCTCCAGAAGTCTCTTCTCTCGTATTTCCTGGCTCTGCCCTTCCATCATGTGAAGCCCTGAGAGCACTACAAGGTCTGGCTGAAACTCATCCAGGCTGGACACAAACACCTCCAGCATGTTCATGGCTCCATTTGACAGGTCATGGGAGAAGATAAAGCGGTTGGCATTGGGAGCTTTCATCTGTCCCCATTCTTCACCTAGAAGAAATCCCCCAATCAACAATAAAACAATTAACCCAAATAACTAAAGGATAATCTCAGCACCAGAGCTATCATGGCTCCTTCTAGGCCTGGCTACACAGACTGGGTACTAATGCTGGGTACTTGAGTTGTGTATCCTACTGAGGCCTAAATATACACAAAATGGTTCCACCCTTCCCTACTGGGTACCTCTGGATACTGAAGTAAAGGAAAAAATGGGTAAATCACTGTTAAAAGTCGAACAGGGATACAGATTAGACAAGCCACAATCTAACTGGTCAGATGTTCACTAATTCCCAGCTGTCTACCAGTACAACCGCAACACTGGAGTACACAGAAAAATCCATACACCAGTTGTGAATGGGTTGTGGCGGGCCAGGTGGTGAGGCAGCCTGAAGGGGCAGGGAATGCAGGGAGAGACGAAAAGCATTATTTGTATGGCTACCTGCACTCTGAAGGGAGGAAAGATCAGGAGTCTGAAAATTGCCCAGGCAGGGGCATTTCTAGGGTAATCGGGGAGAGAACCTCCAGGTCTGAGAGTCAAGTGAGAGAGCATACTGGCTCATCTCTTCCAGACTATTAGAGAATGAAATCCGTAGCTGGTTAGCTGTTTTCATACTGACATCTATCCAACAACACTGGATTTAACTCAAGTTGCACATCAGAGAATGTTTATAAAGAGCTTCACAGTGCAGTATGTTAAAGTCTATGGGAGACACAACAGCCATAGCTCAATTGATTCACACAGGGGAACTGTGCATCTCACACCAAACAAAGGTGCTCACCACCCACATGGAATGTGTACTTCAGACATGCTTCCAACAAGCTCTACACACAGCAAACAGCATGTTGTCCATTGGCTGAGACAAAGACATATCAGCTGGGGTGAACTAGCAGTTATGAAGAGTTCTGGAGGAAGGCAGCTTTGAAGAAGCAAGCTCTGCATTCAGACAGACAGAATGCAATCCAAAGGGAAGGACAAGAGAGTTTCATTAGCCGGGGCTTTTGTAAGTATTGGGATCATTCTGGAACCTGCTGCTATGGCACAGAATAAACTTGTTAACCACACATGCAGCATTTCAGATACCTATGAAACTCCTGTTCAGATTCTGTTTGGAAAAGACTGCTGTCACTCGTCTTGTTCATTGCCGCTATGCAAAAGAAAGCCAAGTATTTTTAGTCCTTGTATTACAGTTAGCCTCATGCAGGAAGAGTTCAGACTATTTGTCACCTTTTTGTACTCAGGGAAGGCTATCAGTCTAATTTAACATGAACATAGAAGTGCAGGTGTTTTGTAATTATACCTGTAGACTTCACTTAGGATACACACTTCTCATCAAACCTGCTAAGCTAATACTGTTTGAGGGCAATGGTGAGACTAATTACATCCCCCAGCTTATGGGACAGAGAGATATAGCACTGAGTGAAATCTGATACAATAGCAATATTGGAACAGGATATAGCATATAGAGGGGCCAGAATTCAAAGGAAGAGTTTCAAATCAGTTTAAGATGTTTATTCACCTAGCAGGCTACCACAGCTCACAGGACAGATGGAGCTACCAGATTAGCTCTGACAGTGACAGCTGTCGATACAGATAATTTACACAGTTCTTCTGAAGTTTACTGACTTGCAGAAAGCTTAAAAATAAATTATAAAGCCAGAAACACTGTTGAGTTATGCTTAAGGCATGTTTCACCTTCGATATTTCACCACCACAATGTGCAGGTTTTGGTTTTTTAAATGTCAGTTTGGGGAAAAAACAGGACAATTGTCCCACCTGTTAGTGTCCTACAACAGACTTCTATTTCAGATCTACTTCTGGAAGCCTAAGCCACTTCAACTCAATAGGCAGGTACAGCATCAGTTCCTGAGAATATTTCCAAAGCTAAATACAGCTTAAAAGATAAGGAAGCTCTGGATTGGTGATCTTCTTTGTCAGAAGACCTGTTTACAGGTTGCTAGCTGTCCAGTTCTATGCAAGTGGCAACCATCTACCATTGGGATATTCAACAAGATAGAAAGGGGGGGAGGGGAACTTAATGAGAATGGGCAATGTGAATAATCAAGTACAGACAGGGATTTTTGGAACAGGCCCTTCCATCCAGAACGATCCTAAAACAATTTACAGACCATAGAGGGATCACCCTTCATCGACACAAACCTCAGGGATGGAATATGGCAGCCATTCTATATCGGCTAAAATATACAACAGTTTCTAGGAAGTGAAGAATAGCTTCAACTGGAACCATAGTTGGGATCTGACCAGCATATTTACCAGATGATGTAGTGACAACTGAGGGTCAATACTTTGGTTTGACATGGCATCCCAAAGGTGGCACTCTAGGAACAGTCAGCACTGTGGGGCGTCCGTTCCAGGAGCACAGTGCCACTTCCTGCCATGGCCAGGTCTCCCAAATGACTATGTACAATCCTCTCATTCATGGAGGCTCTCACACAATGGGAAAATACTGCTACCACAGTGGGTTTCATGCTCTTATCTGAACTATTTTATAAGGAAACCACCTTAGGGACCATCTCTTCTGAATAATCCCACACACCCTTATAGCAGATGTAGAACTTGATTGTATAAAAAATAAAATTAAGACAATATGAAAAGACAAGAAGACTCGCCTGCTTTGATGCAATGAATATGGCTGGTTGGTTCCATTCCCAGCACTTCCTCTCTCAATGTAGAGTAAGACTTTTAGTATGGGACCATTTTTCCTTGCCTTCTCTACTCTAGCTCATTTTATAGTTTGGTTCTCTCCTCTTGTCACCACCACTCCAATTCTGGAATCTGCATATCTGGGGTTAAATTTATACCAGAAAGAAATCCCAAAGATTAATGAAACAACTACAGCGAGTTAGGGAGGGGTTTTTTGGTTTGTTAGTTTTGAGTTGATGGGTCAAACCAAACCTGTGGAAATCCTAAATGTTTCCTTGATTGAGCTGCAATGAGTATCTTATGCCAATGGACTAGACCTAATAACTTTTACCCCTCTAATGTTCAATCCTCTGCAATATTCAAAGTACCTGCTTGATACTCCAAGATAAGGTGGAATTCATCAGTTTCCTGCATAGATTCTGGTGGGACAATTACATTATCATCAAGTAGTTCATGGAGTTTAGGACCAACTGGACCGCAAAGAAGTATCTAGAAACAAACACAATACAAACAAGATACAGTGTCATGTCCCAAATGAGCAAAATCTGTAGGCATTTCAGCATTTTCTCTGTACTCATGTTAAGTAGCACTCTTCAGACTTTTCTCATGATAACAAAGTCACTCCGTGAACTATTCCAAGATTCACTCACCAGTTTGGTTAGCAGGAA